TCGATTTATTGTAGAGATGAGATCTTGCTGCCCAGGCGGGTCTCGAACCCGCGGGCTCAAGCAATCCACTCACCTCAGCCTCCCAAAGGTGCGGGATTACAGGCTGAGCCACCGAGCCCAGCTCGTTCCCAACTTTTAAAATGGGCAAATAGGGCCAGGCGTGGTGGCTCAAGTCTGTAATCCCAGCACTTTAGGAGGCCAAGGCGAGAGGATTGCCTGAGCCCAGGGGTTTGGGATGAGCTTGGGCAACTTGGTGAGACCTCGTCTCTAAAATAAAAATTTGACCGGGCGTGATAGCGCACACCTGTAGTTCAAGCTACTTGGAAGGCTAAGGCGGAAGGATCGCCTGAGCCTAACAGGTAGAGGTTTCGGTGACAATAAGCTTGCCACTGCACTCCCGCCTGGGTGACAGAGTGAGATGCCAACTAAAAAAAAAATAAAAAAATTAAATGGGCAAATAGAAAAGTGGGCAAAGTGATATAAACAAATTCACAAAGGAGAAAATAAAACTGCCAAAAAAAAAAAAAAAAAAGAAAGAAAGAAAGGAAAGGAGAAAACAATCCAGTTAACTAGTAATCTAAGAAATGCAAATCAAGCAATGAGAGGTACCATTTTAAATTAAATGTGAAAAAAAGGCCCGTGTTGTCAAGGATATGAAAAAATGGGCACCTCTCAGGGAAAAGTGATACATTTTCCTGGAAGCGAATTTAGAAAACATTAAAAAAAAAAATACTTTGTCTTTGACCCTTCAGTACCCTACTTCTAGAATTTTAAAATCAGGCATGTGCAATAAAAGATGAATAATAAGGATATAAGCAAATACCAAGCTTGTAAAATATTCGTACATTTATGCAGCCATGAAGAATCATGTTATAAAAGAATACTCAATAGAATGGGAGAAAATTCACAATATTGTGTCAAGTGAAGGAAACAGAATATGTCTTTGCAAGACATTATCCCAATTATGTCAAGCATGCAATGAAGACGCATAGAGAAAACACCAGAGGACATATGCCAATATAGTAAATGAAATTGACTCTAGGAAATAAAAATATGAGCGTTTTATGTTCCCCTATTTCCTACTTACGCAACAGATTTTAAAAGTGTTTTAAAACTACTTGCACCATTCAAAAACTGCCTTTGTTGAACAACATGTAAGTACGTGAAACTGTACTACCCTGGAAACCCCGGGAAGTGTTGAGTTTGGGAAGCCAAGGCCACCTGCTAGCGGGTGAGTCACCAGCACCGGCTCGCACCTGCCAGCGCAGACGCCACATTGGCTGCTGCGAGTTTCCAAGCCCAATGCCCCACGTGCGCCCACGGCCACCTCGGCCGTGGCCCCGCGTCTGGCCCGCAGCCACAGAAAGCCGGGCAACTTCTGCTCTTTTTTTAATTCCTGGAGGTTTTTCCCACGTTCACGCGATCGGGCCTGTCGGTGCTCCCGGTGGGCGTCCGCACGGCGGCTGGGGGCGCGCGGCCGCTCGGCG